TATTCATGCTGTTTTTATATTATATCTCCCTCTTTCATATCAACTCATCTTTTTTGTTTATTCTTAACTATAGAAAAATATCAAAGGGAAAAATCTTGAAGAAAGCTTTAAATATTTCCCTGTGTAATGCTGGATATTTCTTCCCAAATGACAAAAATTATAACTGTCAGACTGTGCAACCTTTAGATTAGAGCTACCAATATTAGCACCACATATACTTTTAAATTCTTTAGTAGGCACATTAGAAAAAATAAAAAGTAATCTTAACTTTAACAGTATTTTTATTTTCCATATTCATAGTAGTATCTTAATAGGAGATTCCACTGTTTTTGTTTCTCAGTCTTTCAAATTTAGTGACTACTATGTGCTTACAACATATCTTGGTTTGAACCAGTCGTGTGCCAACTTTCTAGTAGCATTGTGTACAGTTTGAGACTTTATTTCCAGTAGTTTTGATTAATAGAACTCCTAGTCTGTAAATATAACTTTTGTTTTTCAATGCATTTTCTTGACTTGCTTAGAACTTACTATGTATACCAGGCTAGCTTCAAACCCATAAACACCTACCTGTGCCTCCAGAGTGCCAGAAACACCAAGCTCAGCTAATTGTAGCATTTGATAATGAATATCTATCTGGTGTGTGTGTGTGTGTGTGTGTGTGTGTGTGTGTGTGTGTGTGTGTGTGTGTTTTCAAGACATAGTTTCTCTAACCGCTTTAGCTGTTCTGGAATTCACTTTGGAAACCAGGCTGGCCTTAAACTCACAGAGATCTACCTGCCTCTGCCTCTGAGTGCTGGGATTAAAGGTGTGCATCACCACTGCCTGACTTAATATCTAATTTTTAAAATAAGAATTAAGGCAGTATATAATTTTCTTTACAATTGAACTATTGGGTTAGTTATTTGCTGCTGCATATTGAGTTTTTCTCTAGTTTTTAGTGTTGCTCTGCTATGTATGTTAAATGTTTGCACATTCTTTTCTACTTTTTGATACCAAATCTCATGGGCATTATAGGAACTTAATTCCTGATGTTTATGTAAATGCTAAAAAGATGTGCTATTTGACGATTTTTATAATACTAAAATAGCTTTTTAAAAATTGTTATAATAATCAAATTGCGGGAAGGCTGTATTTCTTATTTTAGTCAGGAAACAACTTGAAAATGTTCAAAATACATCTTGTCATTTTTAAATGTCACTAGAGATAGCCTGGAAGCATACCAAGTTCTTTCAAGGTGAGTTCATAGTGTGTTCCTTTTTCCTAGAATGAAAAAAAAGTTAAGGATAATACCGAGTAAACAATTTTTTATCATGAAGTGTATCCAGTGAACAAATAAGGCAATCATGGAACATCTGATGGCCACAGTTCTATCGCTCTTGATATTTTATTTTATTTTATTTTGGTATACTACTACTTGTGTCAGATATCCCTGTCCAGAACTTGCATTTTCTTAAGTATTCCATATTCAGAACATGAGCTTTATAAGTGAAATAGACTATGACAGAAAGATGTAATTCCTTAATTACTAAGATACCAATGTGATAATTAACTCCACATCAAGGGTCTATGCTATTTAATATTACCATATAATTTTAAATTGTATTAGAACTTTAATAAACCATGAAATTTTAACTTTCCTTATTTAAAGAAAAAAGTAAAATTTATCTACTAAAAATGAAAGAAAACACATTTTTAATATTCTTAATTGCTTTATTTTAGAGAGCAAATAAGTGATTAGGATATACTTATATTCACCAAAATCTACCCACATGGTGCTGAAAAACAAGGCACCTAGAATGAGACTGTGTCTGGAGGGGCACTATCTAGAAGAATATATATCCTGTGACATATATAAGGCTCAGGAAAGCTCAGGCAATAACTCTTGTCATCTCCACTTCCTGGTTCACCAAAAAAAACTATCAACCAGGAGACACAAAGCACCAAAGAGACTCTTCTAGAGTTTGTTCCAGGTCACAGATTCTTTTTTAAATTTACTGAAGTCACCACCTCCATCTAATAATAATAAACTAGTCCAAATACAGTTTGAAACTATTAAACATTTTATACGACTGCCTTTTTCCTGTTTGTGCTCATCAACTTCAAGTCAGAGAACAGTCTTTGCTCTAAACTGCAGTTAATTGCTTACCTTTAGTTTTTTTGGTATCTTTTGGGCTGGGGTGGGGTGAGGGCGTTGATACTACAATGACTTGCCCTGGTATAGTTTTCATTCCAAATGCCTGCAAGCAAAGAAGAGTTCTGATGACCAACTGTACCATTCCCTACTATATTTCATAGGAAAATGTCTATAACTATCTTCCATGCTATTATATTAATATTATACTATTCAATTTAGTTTGATGGTACTTGTCATTTGTGGTCTGCTCTTTGTTCTTATGTCATGTTGTAACACTATTTATTGAAACAAATCTTTAGGCGTATGACTTTAACTGAGATTTTATACCCAACATGTACCTTGCAAAGAGTCCTTCTCTGTCTGAGACAACATATTAAGATAAAGCCATAGTTGGTACCAAAGGAAGCCAGTCTGTTTCTTTTGTCCATTTAGGCCCATATACATAAAAGAGATCCTCTACCAGTGTTGAGGCTGTCATTATGTAAATTTATGTTATTTTCTCCACTATTGGATCTGGGGATCATTATAAAAAACTATATTTTTCTTTTCTTAATTTCTCTCCCCTCTCCTCTCTTTACATAGCCCAGGTTGGCCCCAAAATTGCTATAAAAGACAATAAGAATGATCTCGAACTTCTGATCCTCCTGCCTCTAACTCTTTAGTTATGGAATTACAGCTGTACGCCACCAGGCCTCATTTATGCTGTGCTGGGGATCAAATTCAAGACTTTGTATATATTAGACAAGCTATCTACCAATTAAGCTACATCATGTTTATAAAAATATATGTAAAATACTTCAGTATTTTAGTACTTTATAGCATAGATTCCAAGAAAAGGTTTTAACAGAAATCTTTATTTTAACAGAAAAAGGAAAACATCCATTTCCTAGTATATAAAACAAACTTTTTTTGAAAGTTTAAGATATATGCCAAGGTAAAAGGTGGGAGGATTCAAGTTCAAGGCTAACCTTGACTACATAGTATGTTAGAATGAAGCCTGGGTTATAGCAAGTCACCGTTTCAAAAAACTAGCTTATTTTGAGCTGGATACATAGTCAAAAAGAACAGTTCTCCTGAGTTCATTAGGAATACTTACAGTGTGTTAGATTTTTATTTTTCTCAAGACATTTATTTTAAAATGTAACTATATTTTAAATAGTATGAAAAGGCTTACAATCTAGTTCATTAATGCTTTTTAGTGTTCATCAACACAGCAGGTACCCAAAGTCTTCTGAACCATTATAGTGAGTAATAGACCTTTCTATATACTAATTCTAGATTTACAGTCCCTTCTGAGTTCAGAATGAGTTTGGTGGGGGCTACAGGAACAGTCTGAGCTCTTGTATGAACATGGTACAAATTGTGTATAGTTGTAATGCCCATGGAAGGCCTACTCTGGCGACTTTATATTCTTTAATTTTCAATGATATAGTGAAAATATGGCTATATAACATTTTAGCTAGACTACTTAAGGTGACCTAGGATTTCAACTTGTATACCTAATCAACTAGAAAAGATTTATAGTGTACTATAGTTAATAATCATTGTAGGACTTTGTAGCATTCCTGCAACCCTGTGGGATTCCTCTGGCATAGTATGTTTCTCTTCCATATGCTATATCTTTAATCATCTATTGATCTTGTTTAGATTTTTGTAGTCTAATATGTTATGACTAAAAGGTATAAGATGAAAAGTGAAAGTACACCTCAACTGATAGATTTTATTCCTTTGGTTTTGGGAAATTGCTCAGTTGGGAAAGTATCTGTCATGCAAGCATGAGGATCTGAATTTTGACCCCTGGAACAGGGTATGTGCATATATACCTTTAATTTTAGCCTCAGAATGGGAGAGGGGTAGAGACAGGTAGCTCAACTCCTGGCACTAATTGTTCAGCTGCCTAGCCAAATCCATAAACTTCAGATCCAGTGAGAGAAACTGTACCCTCCAACATACAAATGCACAAAGTCATAAAGATGGGATATAGTCAAGTCATTGTCCTTTAGTAATCACCTTTTAGCTAAAAATAATGTCAGTGATACAGATTTCTAATGTAATGATCTTGTGAAAAGTACTCATAAATGTCAAGTTTGTCTTGGCTTTAGTTGTTCCTGGAGTCCAGAAATTTTCCTATTCATTTTGAATCTATGTTATTTATGTCACTTCAGTAATCCAGTCCATAAATCAGCTTCCCATGGGCTGCCTCTAGAGTTGTTCTCATGTAATCACATCACTTAGCAAATATCTTTTTAAATGGGCTAGATTCTCTGTTGCTCTTAAACAGTAATTACAAATTTTCATTTAAATATGTATGGAAAATATGTACAAAATATATTTTGTAGGATAGTGACCTAGAAAAGGACTGCCATTTTAACTGAATTCATTTTTAGTGAATATAAAATTGAAGGGATTTTGTTAGCTTTTTTAGTTGAAAGAGGCTTTTCCCATTCTAAGGACTTGTTTGCCTCTATTGCTCACCATTTTTCAGTTTTTAAATTTTAAACTGATCCCCAGTTTAAAGTCTCATTTAAGATTATGTCTTACTACTAATACACTCAGTTTCTGGCCAGGTTGGTCTTGAGGATTGAAACTAGAGCTATAGAATAGGAGCAGGTACCATGTTCTTGTAGTCCTGTGTTACCCAGGGCTTTGGTATAGGTATCCAATGAGTACACTGTTTAGTTCGTCTTATATACCTGTTTTTGACTGTTTGAGCAGTCTGTTTTTTATCTCCATTCATAGGATTCTTTGAAAAACATTATAGTCCTTTACTCTGGGTAGATATTTATGGAATAAGCCATACACATTGACATTAGAATCAGTTAAACATAATTTTTTTCTCTTTTTATGCACTACTTGACATCAAAAGCAAAAAGAGGTAAGTTGGTTATAAACATGTAGGTGAATTCTATTTCCCTTAATAGATTTATTCCTGACTACCCTTGCCTGACTTAAATTTCCACAAATCAATACTTTTACACCAAAAAGCTTATCATTGTAAATCCTTTTAAAAATATGTAAGTGTAAAATATTTTGTAAGCATACTGCTGTTCTATAAATTTTGGTTTAGCTTAAGTCTTAGGACATTTGTAAACATTTTCTTTAGTTTGGATTATTGTTTGTCTGATTATGTGTATTACCCATTATAAGAACTCCTTTTTTATTATAAGAAAAACAGAACTAAAGAACATCACAACAAACCAAACCAAGAAACAGCTGATACTGGGAAAGTCTTTAATTTTGAGATACAATGAATTGCTGAAGAGGATATCCTAACTTCTCAGAATGTTCTCCAGTGTGATTTTTCTGCAATGATTTAAAAGTGAAGGCAATCATTAAATAAGAAAATCAAACACATTTCATTGAGTGGTATCTCATGAATTTTTCTCATGTGAGATCTATCTTTATAACTATAATTTTTAGTAAATTCCTGGGTATAATTTGTTTAACATATTTCTCTCTGTGTCATTAATGATGAATTGGGACATGAAATGATGATCTGGATTTGATACATGACAATTAACTTTGCTTACCAATGATTACCTGCCTTATTATCTTGAGTTAACTGTGCTAGCTTGCATTTCTCTTTAGAAAGTTATTTCTAAACAAAGGGTCATGTTTGAGAAGGTCCTTAATTGGTATGAGAATCTGGCAACACACTGTACTTTTACCTCTTGGTGCCACTGTAAATAATTACTCTCTCTCCCTCTATCATCCATTGCTGTCATGCTCATGATTTATTCCTAAATTGTTCAGAAGCAAAAAGGTGGAGATGATTTATTTATTTCTCTTTTGTAAGATTTGCATAAAATGGATTTTTCTATAGATATTGTTTTATGGACTAGCCCTATGACATCATATCATATGGCAAGTCTCATGAAAGTTTTGTCTAATCTGTAAACAGAAAACTTTCTTCTATACTTAGCAAGCAATTTTAATACTTGTCAGAGTGTAATACACTTGTATGCCATTGTCATTTAGGGAAGGCAGAACCAGTTGCTTTTTAAAAAGTTCGTTATTTTTGCCTGAATTATATGAGAATTTTTGGATATTTCAACAGTTCTATAGTTTTGTTCTTTGAAGAATTATAATGCACAATAACTTTTGGACTATCAAGAATATAAAGATATAATGGAGTTTGCCATGTTGAACACTGAATGTCTGGTGCTCTAAATTAGCAGATTATACCCCAGAGAAGTTGGAAATTTTGCTATCATTTTTATCAGTGACTACTTTCAGAGAAACTGAAGTGTTTCTAGGACATGTGATACAATTGGCAAAAAAGGGGTGAGATAGCCAACTCTATGTGTTTGATTATAAAACATCAGATGTTGGTCACAGCTACCTGTTTTTATTAGTGTTGATGTACCATTAATTCATTACTGTATTTTTGAAACTATTTTACTGACTACAATTAGTATTTATGTGTTTCTATCATGTCATCTTATTTTTCCTTCTATAATATTTCCATCTCAAGTTTTTTCATGTTTGCCTGTTATTTCAGTTGATGTATTGGGAGTCCATAAGACTACTTAAGGAGTGTACTTGTTGCTTCTTTCTGTTAGTTCATGAATACACTATGAATAACTTTGTAGATTTAGTGAGGAATAATTTAGTGTTGTTATTGATACATCTTAAATGATACTTTAAAATTATTTTTCTTATTTAAAATTTCCAATTATCAAAAGAAAAATTAATAATACTACATTAATTTTAAAATCTCTATTAGTTAGTATTTCCACTTTCTTATTCCTTTTGCTAGAAACACATTTAGATGGCAAGAATGCTTGGTTCACAAACTCTTCCTCAAGTAAATCTGTCAAATATTTACAAAGTACTCATAAGGAAAAAAATTCACAGATTCTTTAAGGGAAGTGGAGTCAGTACATTAGCAAATGTTTTGCATCACATTGAAAAATTCCCTCTGTAAACTGCTGTGGGAAATAAGTAACCCAAGGCAGTGTCCTCTGGTTGGAAGGGGATTAGACATTCTGCAAGGAAAGTTGCCAACAAAGACTGATGGAGGTGAGTATTGATGGAGCTTAAAGAAGTCAGACATTTCCTTCTTGGATGCTGGGAATGCTGTCACAAACTGGGTGGCTCTGAACAGTCTGAGAGAGAAGAAGCATTTCAGATGAACATAGATAGGACAAAGGCTTTTGAAAATAGATTTGTTATATTGTTTATTTTAACCTTTCTTGCTTCACTATGGTTAGTCCCTTTCCTTCTTTCTTGAAATGGCAAATCTCAGTCCTGTTGTCTAATCAATGGGCTGTGGGTTGCATGTTTTCACAAACATTCTGTTATCTGATCTTCATGGAAATCATGCAAGATTATTGTTTAATGTCTCTACTTATCGAGTAAATAAGGCTTAAAATTTGGTGCTCAGAATAGTTAAATTACTTCTTTTGCCACTTAGCTACTGGTCCACAGAGCATGGAGCCAAACACAATGTCTCTTTAAGTGTGTGGCTCCATGGTAGAGTCCAGGGTTAGCATGTTCGAGAACTAGGTTTAACCCTTGGCCCACCAGAGATAAATGTATACTGTATTAGTTGCTGTGATGCAATTCCATGACCATAAGCAACATATAGAAGAGTTTATTTAAGTTTACAATTCCAGAGGGAGTGTCCATCATAATAAGAACGGCATGGCAGGAGGTGACTGGATCAGAAAGTTTGCTGATCATTTTTCAATAGAACACAGGAATCAGAAACAGGCAACAGGAAGTAAGGTTAAGATATAAAGTTTCAAAGCCTGCCCACAGCAACATACTTCCAAAAAACTTCCATAATTCCCCAATCAGCACCACAATGGGGGATGAAGAGTTTAAATATGTAAGATTATGGGATATATTGTCATCCATACCACAACAAATGTTTAGTTCTTTCTGATAGACTCTGAATACCAGGCTGAAAATGAGACTCGAGCAGCATAAGAGAGAGGAGGCACTATAAAGAGACTGCCAGGAAATGGTGGTAGATGCTTCACTTGATCAAAGCAGGAAATACCTTGTAGAATGCTCATCGCCTGTCATGGTAGATCTGCATGACCATCCCTGAGGACTTGAATGTGTCCAGAAGAGTATCTGTACTGAGTCCATGGAGATTGCTTTTGTGCTACTATCCACAAACAGCAAACTTCTGCGTTTGTAGCAGTGGCTATAATGATTCAGCTTTCTTATCTCCATGCATAGTATATAGAAATTCATTTTTAATAATGTAATTATTACTCAGATTTGTAATTAAAAATTTAATTACCCACATTTTACAACTTTTCCTCAGTTCAGTTGTCCCCATTAATGCTGGTTTGGTAGATTTTGCATTTAACACGCACACACGCACACACGTGCTGTTTGGGGTTTTATTGAACTGAAGAAGTACTCAAGACAGAAAGTGGGTGTTACCATTGCATTTACGTTAGAACACATATTAAAGGCTCTGTTTTAGTTTGGGGGGGAGGGGTTGTGGTTACACAGGCCGGGCAACTAACTTAAATACCTAATTTAATTTGGTGTTTAAATTTAATTTTCCATAGAAAATACTCAAATTCTAGGTCAAGGTGCCTACAGGAATCTACTGCATTTTCATCTGGTCCTTCATCTGAGTTATATTCTTGAGTCTATCTGATCTCTACCCAGCACAGGATACACATCAGCTAGGAAGTAGGGCAAAACTCAATAGCATCATTTTAACTGAATGACCCCTTTGAAGATCTCATCTCCAATTATGACCTTATGTGGAGGTGCTGGGTTAAGGCTTTAAATTCAGGAGAACACAATTCATTCCATAGCAGGCTCCATGGGCATTACACTGAAAGAACTTATTTAGTCAATCAGAAACTTGGGCTTAAGTAACTCTGTCACTTACTTGGGCTCTGTGCTGACTAGTTTTATGTCAACTTGACATAGACTAGAGTCATTTGGGAAGATGGAGGCTTAATTGAGAAAATGATCCCAACAGATTGGCCTGTGGGCAAACCTTTGTGACATTTTCTTAATTAGTAATGGGAAAGCTCATCTCATGGTGTGTGATACCACTCCTGGGTAGGTGGTTTTGGGGTATATTAGAAAATGGGCTGAATAAGAAAGCCATGGAGAGCAAGTCAGTAAGCCACAGGTTTCTGCCCTGACAGCCTTGGATGATGGGTTACATGCTGTAAAGTGAAATAAACACTTTCCTCCCCAAATTTGCATTTGGCCATGGTCTTTTATCACAGCAATAGAAATGTTGAGACAGACCCTAAGAAAATCACTTAATTTTTTGATACTCAGTTTTCTGAACACAAAACAACAACAAACCAAAACAAAACAAAAAACGAAAACAAAAAAGAAAAAAACAATCTTTTGTTCTTTATAAAAAGTCACACAGAAAGTGACCAGGCATAAACTCCTCTACTTTCCCATGCCTCACTTTCTTATTCTAAATAAAATTATATCTATCTGAGTGTGGTGGTACATACTTGTAATCCTATTAGTTGGGAGGCTGAAGCAGGAAAATACCAGCTTAAGACCATCATGGTACTCTGTTTCAAAAATTAAATGAAAAGAAATAAAAACTATTTGATTGACTTTTTATGAGGATAAGATATCCTTGTATGCAAGGTATTTAGTACATGTTTGTGTTTATAGAGCACTTTCTAAACATTACAACTCATCAGTATGTCTCATCTTTCTTTTTTTCTACTTTCATTCTGTGTGTTTGTTTCTTTTCTGTCAGGTCCATGTTTGCAGAAAAAGAAAACAAAAAGAGGCTGTCTCTATAATTTGATTATTGACTGTGGAATATCAAAATAATTCCTAACTCTATCAACTTTTTATCAAGTAGCTCTCATAGATATTCTTGTTTTTATACTATAATTTAGTTCTCTATTACTGAAT